CTGATAAATATTGACATTTAGTAATTATTATTTTCTGATACAATATGTGTAATGTCAATTCATCTATTGAAAAAAAGAAATGAAAAAAAAACGGATAAAATTTTATTACTTACTCAACTCTTTTTATAGACAAGACACTTTTATTTTAAGAAACTCTCAACTTTTGACATTAACTATTTTTAATAAAAAATTTTCGATATCACACTATTTTTTACCTCGAAAAATTTCCGAGAAGTTTCTTTTTAAAGCTCATTTTTATTTTTTTCCAAGTGTAATTGACCTTCTTGTCAAGTAGATTGTTATATAAAATGTTCCAGAATACATTTCTACACTGGAAGAAAGTCTTCAAATTTTCATTTATATATAATTTATCATATTTTTATTATTTTATTAAACTTTTTTTATTTTATTGCAACTGACAAAGTCGGCCGAAAAGTTAAAGGGATGTATTTGTATATGAAAAGTGTGGCGGTGGTGCGTAAAATGCGTGTGACTTTTAAGTCCAAAGGTTTTGGAAGATTGACGTTGGTTGTATGTATTAGTACATTATATAGCAAAGGATAGCATCATCAGTGAGATAGAGACTAGAGACGTGAGTGACAAGCAAAGAGAAGTAAAGTAAAAGATAAAGAGAGAAACTAAATGAGGAGTCTTGTGAGGGAGGAAGAGACGTGGAAGCGCAGAGCGACGTCGGACGATGGGAGCAGGCGAGAAGAGAATAGTGGGGTGGGGCAAGATAGGGGACGAGAGAGTGAGAAAGAGTAAGCTGGAGAGAGAAAGAGATGGCCGACCGCGCGCGATCAATATACCAAAATACGCCGGCAAGCCGCGACACATACAGTCGAATGGGCGCGCACGGACGCACATACACGCGCGTTTCGCGGGCGGGGGCGCGCGCGCACCAGCACCAGTAGCCACGCATACAGGAAGTATCGTCGAAACGAATCACCCAACCGCACCTACCTGTGTATAACACGTCAAACTTGTACAGAAGTACATGCAAGACAACTACACAGTATCTTCACCTTTCGCGAATTTTATATTGTTCTCAATTTCTCAGAACTGGCTTTTTATTCCACATAAAACTTATACGTGTCAGCATTCGATCAAAACAAAAGACAAAAACACACATACACAATGAGAAGAAAAAGGATGAAGAAAAAAAAAATGATGTGTAGGGACTGCGAGATGAAAGGTGTAGAGTAAAGGCAGAAGGTAAAATTAGTTTTATTATTTGATGAGAGACGACGAGTATAAAATAGAATGAGATGAAGCAAGTAACGATTTTATTTTTGAAATGTGATCCAAGAGCGATGCCCTAAAGGCCCCGATGATGTCGAGGTGAAGAGAAGACAGATAAAGAATATGAGAAGAAGACTAGGCAATGTGTAAAGCTTTATTTCGATGCTGGGGTCACGGCATCTACGACACCCGCCATTTTGAGTACGATCCTTTGAAGAGAAGATTTTCTCTCCATCTCTTTTGCTAATATTTTTCTACCACATCCTTTGCCTGCATTAAATCTCAAGTTTCATATAAAGTATACTGATATTTATTACGCGGATATTTTTAACATCGATATCTGCCGGTCTTAAATTGATTTAAACAGATATGTCAAGCAAAAAGTACCAAGTATATTCTTACATAAATATTCCCACTTTAACCATAATAATGTGTAACGTGTATATTTCATCCTTGGAAAATTGACTTCATTGTTGTAAAATTGTAACTGAAGTATTCTCCAACGTATTCTATACTCTAAAAGTTTTATAATTAAAGAGAATAGAATAAAGAAATTCCTGATCCATAAGAATTTATTTATATTCTCTACATACCACAATAAACTTTTAATGAATAAAATACAATAAAATCATCTTTTTGAAAATAAAAAACAAAAAACTATCATTATTTCTAAGAGTTAAAATATGACTTTTGTTATTATTTTTATAACAATGAGCCTTATTATGCATATTAATAAAAGAGTCAATAAATAAAACTGGAATGAAAATTTATAGCAGTTGAAATAAAAATGAAACTTTACTTATTATTATCATTGATTAAAATTGTTGGTTAATTTTCTAAATTCCTCATAACATGCACATTCAAGTGGGAAGGCTTAAATGGCTTTAATAAATAATAAACCGAAAATGAAAGACAAAGAAAGAAATAATGAGACTCGCAATGCTCGTCCATGAGTTTTCGCCCTCGTACGTTGGAACGACCGTTTAATATCGCCAGCTGGCACGTGAAGCGGCAATGTACTGTCTGGCATTGCAAATGCTGTCAGCCGTCCCTGTGTTTCGTTCGACTGCGCCAGAATTTATATCGTAGGGCCTAACAAACAACTGTTTATATGCAAGGAAATGAATTAACTTTAAATAAAATGCACATCTTATTAAAGTCATCTACTCTACTTTAGTTGGTTTCTTTACAAACTTATCTCACCTTTTGTGGCCTTAAAAATCATAAATTGAAGAAAAAATGGTACGATCTCGACATAAATCCGCGTGAAATCCCCTCATAAGCAACCGCTGAGCAAAATTAAGGTCGTCCACCAATCGTGACACTCTCCGAAGTTTAATCAAGAGCTCCAGGGTTTTCGGGGTTGACTATCAGTATAGAATCCCCAGGCATTCCAATGCGGAAATAACAAGCCCTAGGTACCACAGTTTGTCGTACCTTCACATTTAATTAAGATCAAAATTACCTTCTATCCGGATTAATGTTGAAAATGATTCAAAATGAATCTCGTGGCCATCAGAGTAGCCTTCAATTTCCTGCATTAAATTCTAAAAACTTCCATTTACACCAGTCTATCTAAAAACCTGAAAAATTATACTCTATCTTAAATTTAATATCAAGAAATTCTTTAACAAAGAATTATCGACGTCACTGTAAAGTATACATATTTATTTATATTAAATTATATTAATTAGTGGTAATATTATCACTTATTTTTTTTTAACTATTTATCAGCTATAGGAAATTCATATTGACTTTGTCGACTGATAGATAGAGTTGGAATAATTTATATTGTACTTTTATAAAGTTAATATTATAGAAACACATTATTACATATTAGTTTAAGAATTTTTCCACTGAATCACTAACGCACTTGATATCTTTGCTGAAGTAAATCCAATGTTATGAACTTTAATATACTGAAAAAAATGCTGTCATTTACAAATTATACTTCAACAACTTCATACTGCGTCTCATGCAATAGTTTATTTAAGAGTTATGAACATTGAAAGTTGTTGAAGTCATTTTGAAACAATTGGAATTCATGAAGCATGATGAAAACAAAACACAATTGAAGATAATTGATATAGTTAATAAACAAATGAGGAAGAATAATAAAAAACAACTGATTAATGAATAAAAATAAGTCAAAAGTAAATTTTGATGAAATTGTGGAGCCGAAGGTTGAGTGACACTGAACTGTGTCACCGTTAGTTTTGTCTCTCTTTTCCCTTCCTCCAAGAAGTTTATCTCACTCTTACGCGTGCGCCACACTACTCTGTCTCTGTCTTATCAATAGGATTGGCTAGAATGTTTGTAAATTACAAATGTTTCAACAGCGAATTGGCCTAGAAGATTGAGACTAGACAAAATAATGAAAGGAAGTAATAGAAATAAAGTATTATCAAGTAAATGTTCATGAAATCGTTGAATAAAGAAGATATTGCAGAGGAAAGTTGAAACTGGAATGGACGCTAGATTGGGAGCCGCAAGTTGATCGACACTGTCGAACAATAACTTCGTGCCGCCGCGAGCTCTCAAAATGGCTGTCCTCTGCTATTATTACTTTGGGAAAAAACAAACGAGGAGAGGCGCGCGCCGGGGTGTTCTCTTGCTCACGCTACGAAGAGAAGAGAGACAATACTCAAGGCCCTGATGTCAGTGTATGCAGAGGATTCTAGGATAATATACGTTCTGTACCGAAAACATCATGTTTCTTCGTTTATCAACGATGCTGTTGAGAAAGACTAGTTTAAACACATTGCTCTGGTGTAAGAATTGTTTGTTTAATATACATATAGCAATGATGAATAAACACACCGAAAAAAAGTCATAGTTGCAAAGCAAAAGCCCTTTGTATTTCATTTCCATTCATTTTAACAACGACGCAATTTATTAAGACACAATATAAGGGATCGAGAGAATTTTATTGCATACTTTTTTCACTCGCTTTTCCTCTTCGTTGCCGGGGCGTTTCCCTTAGAACGCACTTCACAATTTGCGCAATAGACGAAGAATATTTGTTATTTGAAGTATTTTATATCGTTGGAAATGTGCTTGGGGATGATTACTTTGAGTGTGGTAATTATTATTCATTTACTCCAACTCTTGACTTCACAATCAAATTCACTCAAATTTTATGAAGAATTATTTACATTGATTTTCATTTAAAATTATTATTACTATCTCTAAAAAAAAATTTTCCTGTTTAAATTTTTATTCACATTAACTCTGTTGAAGATTTTTATTACTTATTATATAAATTTCATTCTATTTTAAGTTTAATTAAAAAAATGTCAACATTTCTCTGGAAGCTCATGTTAAATTTTCTTAATAAATATTTGAATATTTTTATATTATAATTACATTCAAAGAGAATCTTTTTAATTTAAAAAATAATTTATATTCGAGTATTGTTTGTTTTGATTTTGAAATGATGAAATTATTTAATTCACAGAATTGTGCTTGATGCTTACTAATTTTTTTAGCTTGTATCACTCAAATACGAAGAATACTATGCTAGTCATGACTAAGAAATAATGTAGTAGGATGGTAAGAATAGTATGAGGAAATGAAGAAAGGCAGGTATGAATAAGAACGAATTTACTTAAGCTTGGCTGACCAAGGGCTACTCAAGGTTTAAGACGTAGGTATTTGCTTTTAGTTGAAATAGAAAGTACTTTATAAAGTACAGTACATAAAGTATGTAAGAGTGAAATAAAGTGAAAGAATGGAACATAAAATTTTCTTTAGCTCACCGTTTGAAATGCTCTCTTATACGATCCTCACGGATGTTTTCCGGCAGATTTCCAACCCACAGGTGACGTGTCTCTCTAACCATTTTGCTCCGAACTCTTCATTTGGGATCGGATGTTGTGTTATCGTTTGGCGGCACTGTACAACGACACACAACTTCGAACAAAATTTTTTAATATTTAATACAAATAAATTTCCACTTAGGCACACTTTTCACCACCAATACACACTTGCAGAGCCGTAGCGTGAGAGACGCTGCTTGGCTATCTCTCTTGCTCTCATGCACACTCACGTTAAATTCAATTTGACCGTCGATTTAAGAATTATTTCAGACGTTATTTATTTATTTTCTTTCAAAACCGTACTATTGATGCACAACTGAAGAATTTTCCAATGAAATTCTTCTTTTTAACAATCACCACTTTAAACAATCAATCACACTGGTCACTAATCACTAGATGGTAAAAGGTGGTGACCCCTTACACGGGGGTTGTCGTGGCAGCGCAGAAAAAACGAAACTTTATGCGCTCGCGATAAAACAGCACCGCGACCGCCAATGAGTCGTGGGATAATACACCACTGGTAGCAGCAAAGAAAACCGTTGCTGGACGCCACATGGTACAACACTAATCTAAAAAGACCCTAATTACACGACACATCACCACCCGGGCACAACGACTCTCGACGATGATTCGTTCCATTTCGTTCGAACATATTACACTCGCGAATAATTTTTTTCCTTTATCCTTTGCTTGATTGAAACTCGTTGATGATATCACTTGACAAACTTATACTAATAACAGTAATCAATATGACAGAAAAGATGGAATTTTTTCCTTTATTTAATGTTGCACGTAACACAAACTCCGTTTTATGTGCCTGATACTAATCCGACAGGCTTTTTCACATCACTTGCCACACACGGTTACGTGAAATACACAACGTTGATGAAACTATGTAAGAATAGGTTATAATTCCTTGTAGACGCTTCAGTATTACTTTGTTGCGTTTATATATCCCATAGGTTGATAACTTACGTATCTACCTATTACTTAGTGTATACAGTTTAACAACCGCTCTTTTAACTTGAACATGTACACGAACGGAGCTGGCTTCGCTCCTTCTCACTGCACTACACTACACGAAGTGACGTCACCGTGGCGGGAGCGTAGCGTGGCTCGCTAGCCAACCGTATTTTGTTTGATGGTGGGGATGAAGAGGGGAATGAAACGACTCTACTGCGAGAGGCGGCTTGCGATCACGATCTGGCGTCCCCGCCGGGAGGTATATACTGTAGTAGGGGTAACACTTGGTTACCAAAGAAGTGGGGAAACTCGGAGGAATTGAAGCAAGGCTAGGTGGGGGTCACGGGACTCAAGGGGAGGAAGGATAACGGGTCGAACGAGCTAACCCGAACCTCCACACCCCGCGTCCTTTTTTTCACAGCTATACTCCTTTCTTTATCTAACTAATGCTTCGATATAATGTCACGTATATTTTTTTACTCTCTCTTTTTCCATCTTTCTCCGTCGTAGCCTCACTCTTCTTCATCGTCCTCCCGCTAAAATCGTATCTGTTGTCAACTACTATTAGATCTATGGCGTCGTTCACGCAGACGCGTTGCCTTCAACTTATTCTATTGCTTCTCTTTCCAGTTTTATCGTCTGTTCATTCGTAGTTCTTTTTACATTTCCGAATGACTCGCTTATATCTCTATGTATCTATTGTTTTTTTTATGATTTCTTCGTGTTCGTGATACAAAAATGCTTCGAGTTATTGTCTAGTTTATTATTATGCTATACCAGCCATGTTTGCTGGCGTCATATTTTTGGAGTACTGTTGAGAAAATTTACTTAATAAATGATTTTGTATTTATCTAAACTGTATATACCTTAGTGATTGTTGATCTTATCATATCTTTTCATATAATTTTCGACGTACTTATTGAAATTTTCTGCGAATAATAATTTTTATTCCCTGATGCGTAACACGAACATTACATGACGCCATTTCGTGATTGACTATGACACCAATGGCGCCTATACCACAACGCCATCTAATAAGTCAATAAGTAGATGGCAGCATCTACCGTAGGCACTCAGTGACCTCTGGTCTATTTATGTTTGATTTTTTATCCTAAAAAATTTAATTTTGTTTATTTATAAATATAAATTGTGTGATGTGATATAATAAATTAAAAATAATGATAATATTTCTCATAGAAAAAAAATTTCTACTGTGCATTATAACAAGCATTAGTTAATAATTTAATTTAATTTATACGGTCTAAAAAATATTGACAAACATTTAAATAATAATAAGTAATGATTTATTATTAAAACATATTGACACAAATAATATTTATAAATTAAGATAGTTATGTATGCTGACTATAAATATATAATGTATGTAATTCAATTACAAAATTTGCAATGGTTATTTTTATAATCCTAATAGATAATAAAATTTCATAAGAATAAATATTTCAATGTATTTTTAACTCTAATAATCTTTATAATTATCCCATTAAATCTAATAATAATTTTAATAGTATTTTGCTATTTTTTTCTTTTGGCAAATATCAGATTTAATTTTATATCTAAATTGATAATACAATTTTTTATGCCAACATTTTATTTTTAATATATCTTCACTTATTTTTTTCTATTTGATGATTATACAATAATAACATGATTGTAAAATTGAAACTCTTTATTATATTATAATCATTAATGTGTTTCTAATAGTAACCAAGTGTTTGTAGTTAAGGAAATACGTTGACTCATTATCAAAAATTTGATCCTTCCATTGTGTTAATGTTCAGTTGATGTCTTTATTTTTTATATATACTCTGCACTCAAAGGGTCAGTATAATTAATTATAAAGAAAAAGCTTTATCGTGTTCGGGAGTGAAAAAATGTCAGAAACAAACGTTGATAAATCTCAAGAACCATCCATCATGTCGACTGATCCCAAAGAACGTATATTAGCACGAAGGCTTCGTATTCAAAGAAGATTAGAAGCTATGAAAAAGTTGGTAAATTTCCTCATTACTTTAAAAAAAAGTAATTAATTAATTCTTTTTGAATTTCATGCTTTAATTACAATTATTAATATTTTTCTAAAGGCAAGATAGGGAAGAGGATGAAACTACTGATGAAAAAACAAAGACTGAACAACAAATAGATGCGAGTACAGAATTTATGCAAAAGTTAGTTGCTGAAGGAGACGAAGTGGTAAAATAAAAAAAAATATTCACAGTAAACAGAATAAAATTTATAGAATAGTTGAAACAGAAATTAACAAATTCCTTTATTCATTATTTCAATTAGATTTCAAATGTGAGAATAGCAAATGATGCACGTGAAATACATCGTCGTGAAGAAGATTTCAAAATACGTGAAGTTTTATTAAATAAACTTAAAGAAGAAGCTGAAGAATCGATGATGAAATGTAAAGAGATCAATTCGAAATGGCCAGAGCTGCTTGAATCGAAAGATCCATTGGATATACACAATGGAATTGAGTCACAGAAAATTAAGTGCCAAGAAGTTTTAGAACAAAAGGATGTTATTATAAATGAATTAAAAAAAGCAATTGATAATGCAGATCATAAATTTGCTGAAGATCAGAAAAAGCAGAATGAAGATATTGATTTATTGATTGATAGAATTGATACACAGGTATTTAATTTTCTACCTTTTAATAAACTTAATTATTTACTTTTAATCATTTCTCTTGTAGATAAATTTGATATATAAAGGGTATCGTCGTGAATTGAATCTCATTGAAGATACGTTGAAGAATGAAAGAAATATAATATTAGAAGATATTACAAAAAGATGGGATTCTTTGTATGAAGAGCGACAAAATAATGAACTTCAAGGCGTAGAACGTAGGCGAGAAATAATGCGTGAATATGAGAAAGAAATGAATAGAGTATTAATTGAACATCAAGAACAATACAGAGCACAAAAGATTTGGCTAGAGAGCGAGTGTCAGAAACTTCAACAAGAAGTAGAGAATATGAAAGCTGTATGTTTATTAAATCTTGAAAAGTTAGAGTATAGCTATGCTATTCTCAAACGAAGAGAGAGTGAAAATATTATTGTCAAGAACCAACAAAAAAGAAGAATTAATAAGTATGATTTTAAAATAATATTTTTCATTCTTTTATTGTAGTTAATTTTCTTTTCCAGGCTTCAAGACATTGTTAATAATTTGAAAAAAAATTATACAGATTTAGAAATAAGTACAAAAGCAAAAATAGAAAAACTAATGGACGAAATAAATAAAGCAAAGAAAAATATCATAGATTTAGAGCTGAAATCGAATCATTTTACTATGATTAATGATAAGCAGTTTATGCAAATCTGGGAAATGAACACAAAAAATGCAGACAAGTTATTGGAACAAGTGAGTTCATTGACATACTTTGATTCTTTATCTGAACAGTTGGAATTTTTCAACAATGAAAAATGATTTAAAACGTCTTTATATTGTCTTCAGATATTCAAAGTTGACAAAATTGTCTACGAGCAAATGTTAGGATTAGAATGGGAGCCACCAAAAGAAACCTTGTTAAAGAAGGAACAATTACCATCATATTGTAAAGCAATGCTAAGTATTGAACGAGGTAAATGTCTGCTATAAAAATATTTGTGCAGTTGGACAAGTAGTGATATATTTGTTTTTTTCAGACAATGCAGAGAAAGACGGTAATGTCAAGTTATGTAAATCGCAAATAAAAGATAAATCTCCAGAGAGAATAAATTCAGAGAGGAAATTATTAAGACACATCATGATGCAGATTTCAGACCAAGCAGAGTTTCTGGTTGAAGAAAAAATTCTAGAACTTCTTTCTCAATATTCCGAAGAAAATCGAATGATCGTAAAGCTTGATCACGTCTTCCAGGTAAGTTAATTGAATTTTTAAAATCTCGACCAACGTAATTGTAAAAAAATTGATTGATTTTCTATTTTTTAGGCATTAAATATTACGTCTGAAGATCAAATTCATGTGCTAATTAATTTTTTTTTGCCCTACTCTTACTGCCCTACTTGTATTGGAGAAAATGAAAAAAAAATTAACGAGCTGTTACGTAAACCGCAAAAAGAAAAAGAATTCGAAGATGAAACTATTTGTCCGTGTAACAGTCCAGAATTAGATGAGAAAACTACTCGTTTAAGGCAAGAAGTTTTGAAATATATTTCTACTGAACCTAAAACAGATAGAAGTGAAGAAGAGAATATTGAAGAATCAAAAGATTTGAGCGTGGAATCAATCACGGAAGATATTGGGAGTTCTGAGAGTAAATTTAAATAAATAGCACAAAAATATTTAAATTATAATTATTTATTCAAATACTTACTTTTGTTTCATAGAAAATGATTTTCAAGAGAACAACTTGACGTGTGATAAAGGTCACTTGTTAGAAATACAATCAGAAAATGTAATAAAAGCGTTGCTAGAGTTTAAAGAAAAATACAGTGAAGCTACACGTGGCGAGATTTCCCAGAATGTTAAGGAAAAAATCTCTGATAATAAAGTAGTACTCTCACGCTGCATATCAGAAGAAGATATGAGAGAATATTGGAGACGATACAGAGATATATTTTCTTCTAAGAAAGAAAAACTTTGGGATGCTTTGATGATAGGATTGAAGAAATATCATGAAATTTTAAGAGAACGACAAAAGTTGATTAATGAAACGGAAGCAATTCAGAAACAAAATTCTGAATTACGACGTTTACTTGAGAGCTATGGAGTAAAAGTAAGTAAAATTTGTGAAAACTTTATCAGTTATTGTGTATTACTAACATTATTATTTATTATCATTTCAGTCAACAGCCAATTCAACTCAAAGAAAGTCTAGATCAGCTCATTCAGCAATTTAGACTTTCTTTGTATACAAATAAACAAACCAAAGAAAATATTTTTCAACGATAAAATTAATTTCTATGAATCATCAACATATTTTATTGCATGAACAAATACAGCCAATTTTTTCAAATAATCTATAAATTAATTGATTTTATCACACTTAGCTTTATCTATATGTTAGATGTACATATCTATATTTATATATATATATATTTATATTTTTTTCATTTTCATCTCACTCAATAAAGTATTTTTTACTCATCTTCTTATCATAAATAATGTTATCGATCAAGTATGGAACATACAATTAATTGATTATTTGAGAAAAGATTGTAAAGTTAAAGAATTAATTTATAATCGAACTTTTTTATACATGTGTATATCCCCCGGAGATAAAATTATTAGATAGAGATGGAATTACATCGATTCTATGGTTTCCAAAAATATCTTCTTTCTTTTTTTTCACGAATGGAGTGTACCTTTTTTTCTTATTTTTTGTAGCATTGCCGGTAATTTTTTGCGTATGTTTTCTCGAAGAAATATGCTGAAATAATTTTTTTTTTTAATTAATTAATAATATCTTGAATGAGTATTTGTTAAATTAAATCATCATTAGATTTTATCTTTGAATTTTATAAAGTAGAAAAAATGAGAATATCATACGATGTCGTATTGAGCTTTCGAGTTGAAGAACTTGTTGCATAACTGGCAAGAAAGAGGTGATGGTCGAGTAGGAGTTGATGGAGCAGTGACTGACGATCCAGATGATGTTGAAGATGTCGACGTCGCCACAGACCCAACATCTGTTGTCACTTCCATCGGAGATGTTCCACCTAAGCATCAATGTGCAATCAACACTATCTATCTATCACAACTGGAAGAATTGCCATTTGTGATAATAAATTAGCTTGAGCTACATTCATGCCCAAAAAAGAATAAAAATTAATAAAACAGAAGACTCTTTTTCTACGAGGCAAATGCCAACCACAATATTTATGATAATGAAGATGTTCTCAATGTTCTTCACTGTAGAATTGATCAAATCTTACCTTTTTCATTGAAAATCAATTAACAAAAGACACATATTGAATAAAGGTTAAAAAGTATTGAAACGAATGAAACTTAAAATTAGAAAGCATTAGGCTTTATTAACACAAATCAAAAAAATACTGTTTTATAAAAAGTCATTTTAGAAAAAAAATTAATAATCATACAAAATTTGATTGTGTATAAGTATTCAATTGAAATCATTCAAAATAAATAAATAAATAAATAAATAAATATATATAAATATAACACAATGAACCATGTTCTAATTAAAGGATAACAGAATTATAATTATGACCAGGTCTCATATTTGACTCATAAGAATACGAAATAAATAAATTGGAATCTAGAAAACTCTTTAGGAATCATAGAAATAAATGATAAATAAGTGTTACGAAAAGTATAATACATGCAAAAGCGAAAAGTAATAATGAATAAGCTAATAATGCAATATTTCTATAAGTTAATTCATATAACTGAGCCTCTGGTTTATTGCTACGTTTATGCGGAAGTAATTCTTGGAATGTTTCAGGGTTATTACCTTTCATAGCTTTTTTCTTGTGCCGGTTACCTGCAATAAAAGTAAATGTCAGTTTAGAAATTGTAAATTTTTAACAAAACAAAAGATGTTGAACTTACCATTTAAATGTGTTTGAAGTTGTTGTATTGAATTTAAACAAACATTACAAACATTACACATCAATCCATTCGCTTCTTGGTCTTTTGTGAAGGCAACTTTTGTTTCTTCAAGTGTTGCCATGATTACTTTGGATCTTATCTAACGATAAAAATTTTTACTTATAAATCATTATAAAAAAACATTCCAATAATTGAATTGTTGTCGATTTTAGTACCTGTTTGGCATGTCTAGCTCCTTGCAAGTGTGCGTCTAATACTGTTTGACTAGTGAAACATAAATCACAATCTTCACATCTCACTAAAGGCTTTTTTGTTGGTAAGTTTCCCATAATATTGTCCATTACTGCCTTTGTGACAGGATCATTTAGATTTGAATTTATTATCGGATGAGAATGTAACGCCATAATTACTAAAAAAAAGGAACAGTCTTAATTTTAGTATTTTTTAAAATATCCTATTCATTCTTTGAATTCACCATTCTTGGCTTTAATTTTAAAAACATAATGCTGTCGATACAATTTAAAAAAAAATGTAAACAAGTACCTGCAAACCTGAGTTGATTAATGAAATAAATTAAAAAGTGAAAATCAATAAATTATTTTACAAATTGGTTAATGGAGTTAATTAGTTAATATTTCGATTTATTATTTATTAGTTTAAGTACTAGTTCCATTCATAAAACACTAATAAGAATTTTTTTTTCAGTCAACAATCTGTCAATAATGTCTTGAATTTTTATTGACGTTCATAGAGAATGAACTTGGCAAAATAAATTCCACTGGTATACAATAATGGCGGAATTAGCAAGAACTTTTTATAATCAGTCTATAAACTCTGTTTATGATAGAATAACACAGGTAAATTAAAACATAACTTGATTGAGCAACGAGTACGCATGTGAATTCATTTTTAGAGATAATTCACATATTTTTAGAACGAAGAGAAGCTGCGAATAATAACCGATGACAAATGAAACAGTTCACAACAAACTGGAGATTATTGAGCTGTAGCCAATAGCGTTACATAATTTTGTACCAATCAGATAATCTCTTGTAAATTGTCGCTGTGGCCTTTAGCAAACAGTAGCTTAAACTTCTGAACCAATGAAAACATTTCGTACATACCGTCCATCGCAGTATATACTTTTGTATGTATATGTATATGCTGTGTCGTGAAATATAGCAGCAGCCATCTTATATTTTGTGTTAAAGAAAAACATTATTTGAACAAATGTTTCGGCCCATGCTGTGAAATTATTGGACGATACATGTACGCTCGATGAAGCGTATCTTTTTTACGTATAACCTGAACCACTATATTAGCAAAGGTTAGTATAATTAAAAAGTAATTGAATTTTTTAGTTGTAAGCATCAGAGCCTATCAGCGCGCGCTGTGCATTGGAGTGCGGTTTTAGCGTCAAAATAATCCAATGTTTGTTTAATATGTTATAGAAATAGTTTGTGACATTTGTCAGTTGACTCGGAATTTTTAGAAGAATTTAATTATACTTTAAGTCTTGAGAGATCATTTTACATTCGTAGAAAAGTTATGCAATCAGCTGATCGCGTAGATCTCTTTTGTCACTTGTCAAAAATGAATGTCAAAGTAATAAATTTGATACTTGATCAATGTCGAGGACAATTGTTCAAAGATTCTAAAATTTCCCTTAATAATTTTATAAATTGTTTCATGTTTAAGTCCACTTATGTATGTGGATGACTTGAATTTAATGCTATTGTGTCATGCAGGTGGATTGGTACGCAGGATATGAGCAGTTTGTCAAGCGCAATCTGACTCTGCTCCCGAATCAACAGCCAATACATCAGCATCCTGAAAATCCGGTTCAAACTTCTCAATCAGATATAATGACATCAATGTTTGATCAACAAATTAAAAGTGAACCAATGGGATTTTATTCGGTAGCTTCGAGTAGATCTGACGGATCCAATTCAATGGTAAATTTATCAGACGATCGTGAAGATTTATCACAGCAAGACGATCACCTTCAATCACAGCAACAGTCAATACAAGCTCATCAACAACAACAGCAAAACCAACAACAAAATTCCCAAAGTCAACAGGGCAGTCCAAATGTTCAATCTCCACCTTCGCGCCAATCTACCGGCCAACAAACTGTTAAAGAAGGGAATAGATCCAAACCACAACCGTGTAAAGTCTGTGGAAAAGTGCTCTCTTCAGCTTCATCTTATTATGTTCATATGAAACTTCATTCTGGCAATAAGCCTTATCACTGCACAGTTTGTGAAGCAAGCTTTTGTCGAAAACCTTATCTTGAAGTTCATATGAGAACACATACTGGTGAAAGACCGTTTCAATGCGAACTTTGTCTTAAAAGATTTACGCAAAAAAGTAGCCTCAATACTCACAAACGTGTCCATACTGGTGAGAGGCCTTATGCTTGTGACATTTGTCAAAAACGGTTTGCTGTTAAAAGTTATGTTACTGCACATCGTTGGAGTCATGTAGCCGAGAAGCCTCTCGTCTGCGATAGATGTTCGCTTACTTTTACATCCAAAAGTCAGTTTGCAATTCATATTCGTACTCATACCGCTAACACAACATACGAATGTAATATTTGTGGACGTACATTTGTTCGTGACAGCTATTTGATTCGACATCAAAACCGAGTGCATCGTGATTTGAGTCAAAATAATTCGAATCATAATCCAGCGACTCCGCAAAGTAGTGGAGGTGCTACCCCAGGGGCAGGATTTGAAAGTCCCGTTTGTGAATTACGTTACAGTGATGGACCATCTTCATTAGATGGTCTTAGTGGTGGAAAGGGTATTGCCGCAGAAATAGCTAGTTTAGCTAAACAAAATAGTCTTCAGCTTCCTGTACCATTGCTGCATCCGCAGACGACAAACTAGTGTTTAGACGGCAGCGCGTCCGAATCTCTGCCGTTGCAACAACATTCACCACAACATGTGGCTTGCTCCACAGCGGCATCATCACCCATCACCATCAATTCACCTTTAACTCATGATCAAACCACGCCACAAAGTGTCTACCAAACTTCTGTTTCCTCTGGATCATTGGATAGTCCAGAGCCTCACCTGTATCCTCACTATCTATCTTCCACAGAACTTACTGAATCACATCATCCACATTATCAGGGACATCGTAGTATTCCACCACCAGGAATTCATCCTGCACTCTACTTGTACGCTCAGTACTCAAACAATTCTTCTATTTATCCTGAGTATATTCAGCGCTAGTTATCATCGTTATATTAACATTAAACATTTTTCATACCATATAAAGGCTGTGTGATAAAATTTTATTCATGAAAAATGTAATATTAGGAATCATTCTGAAAATAATCAATAAAATAGGGCTTTATGATTAATTTGTAATTAGTTTTTCAGTTTATTAGCAAAAGTTTATATTGAATTAAGTTATTTTCTAATAATTTATCAATTTAAAGCTAATTATGAATATCTTTAAAAATTTTTTTGATTCATAATGATCCTAATTGATCAATTTTGCGATAAATCGTGATGGATAATTTTTTTTACATACGTCAAAAATAACTGACAATGTTAAGAGATTAAAAGAAAGAGGTTTAATGTTAATGTAAATCGATGCTCCAAATCTCCACATGTTTCTAATCAGCACTTTTGCTTTGTCTTTCTTTAAAGTACGTACGGAAATATGTGTATTATGCGATCATCATACATATTTATATTATATTTTTAAAGGAATTTAGTCACTTGAATCTGTGATATAGATAGTAATTATTATCAGCAAGATTTAAATATTGGTTTACTATTTCGATGTCAAAACAAAAGAGTAAAGCAATGTCATGGAGCGGTGTAGTTTATTGGATTCGAAAGCAAAACATTAAAAAATGATGGTCTCGACTTGGTCTCTACTAACAATATTTGTTAGTAGATACCCTTTTACTATAACTGATAAACTGATAAATAGTTATCAACCATTAGAGTAAAAAAAGCAACCACTGTTAATTACTCTGATATTATAAAACAACTAACAACTATTTTTTTTTACTCATAGAATTGTTATCACTATTGTCAACGCAATAATCGATTCTAACTAGTTGCAACGTTTCAAATAGTTCAAAACACAAATGCGCTGTCATAGTACTAGATTTTTTATTACTATCATTATAACTACTATTATTAATACTATTTTGCGTAATTTGATTACTAAATTTAGTATAAAAATATAGCTTTTTATTGTTTAAATTTTTAGACTTCTAAAATTGAATTTCATCTAAGAAATAAAATGATTTATAAAGTTATGTGTGAAAGAATTTAATCGTCATGGTTTTTCAAATGTGTAAGTTGTTTTTTAATTATTTATGTATTTATATAAATATTTCGAAATTTTCATTGAAATATTTCAGTTATTTAGGTTGTAATACAAACAATTCATATTACTAATATTGAATTAAATGAACTTTTTTATTGATCGGCAATAATTGCAATTAAAAAAATTTTTTTTTGTAAACGAGATTTTTTTTTACCGTACTTACGTTTATTTGCACATTCAAATTTATTATTACATCTATAAATATGTAAATATGACGAAATTTATTTGTTTAATGTAGAAGGAATGTTTTATCTCTTTTTATTATAAAGTTATTCTAATCTAATATAAGTTTGTATAATTTATGAAAATTAACTTAAGTCATATATTATACAATCAGTTATATCTAAAAATTATTTAAAAGGAACTCGAAAAACCATGACATATGCGTGAGAATGGATATTTTTTATGATTATTCAATTTTACTAATTTCAGTTATTTGATAAATAGTTGTTTCATCGTTATTAATCCATATTTGTTTTTATGATTGAAAATTTTTATTGATAAGATAGACATATTTTTTTCTGCTTTAGAGCTTTAGATTTTTTTAGGCATTAAAAAATTTCTTAGCAATTTATTTTAAAAATATGCGTGTGTATGCCTGAGGCTTTCAGTTTCATGTGAGATACCAAGTCATCGGGTAAGACTGATTAATGTAGCAGACTGCTGAAAGTACTCTGTCTTTTCGAGTACTTCAAAGAAATAAAAACAAAGAGATCAAAAAGAAATTTTACATGAGATTTAAACAAAAGTTGATAAACGGAAAAAAGAGGGGAAAATTATTAATTAATGTTGGTGGAAAAATAAAAATAGTTAATAAAACGAGTTGTGTGACAGAAATCAACATTTTTTTAAAAATTGGCTAGTCATTGTGCAGCTATATGGAATAATAATACACTACAAAGCTGTGATTAAAGCCTCTGAGTATATACTCGTGTAGCTTCTAAGTAGTTTATAAACGGGTTTAGTGATTAATTAATTACCTCTAGATTTTTTTATTTATTCATAAAAAAAAATTCTCGCTTGCTTTTCAGTGAAAAAAACTTTAGTTGTTTTGATGTTAATGATTTCATTTGAATATTATTATATTTGTTCGCCAACTTTTATGACAACAAAACACACAATATTCAATTATTTGTAAAAATCATTTTCTGTTCAATGTTATTTAAATATTTTAGAAAAAAATGAAATCGAATTTAATTGTTATAATCTATTATGAAAAAAAATGATATAAATATAAAAGTAGGTCCTCCGTTTTTTAAGATCACATCGGACCAATTGAAAATTAAAATAGCTTTAAAGAAAGCTGCTAGTAAACAAAAAAAACATATTATTACAATAATGAGGCATAAGATTTAATAAAACAAAACCATATTAATGTATATTCATTTGTAATCAATAGTTTTATATAGTAAGAATTTCGATTAAGTTGCTAAATATTAATTTATTTATTTTTAATAGTTTTGTGAAGTGTTATTTGTCAGTTATTTAACTATTACAATATCAAACATATTTTTTTCTTAGTAAAAAATATTTTTTCGACTTGAAAAGTCGATATTGTAAATAATCAAAGTAAAAGAAATTTTTAAGTAGGCATAGCAACTAAAAGTCACAGCCGGTAATTTTAAAATAAAGAAAAAAATTTAATTTTTTTAGAAATAAATAAATAGGGAATGCAAAAAAAAAATTTTTACGTAACACAAAAGCGCACTTGTAATAATGAAAATTTTGTCTGAAAAAAGTTGTGTTGTGGTAAATGATGAAAGCCAATTATATTTAATAATTCTTAACAATTACTAAATGTAAAAGACAGAGAATATACGTGATACACAATAAGCAGCTTCTATGTATAACATACTTAAGTGGAATAACAAAAAAAACACTAATGAATAAAAAAATCCAATGATAAATAAATAATACCACATAACAATAAAAAAATTTTCAAATATTTCACAAAGAAGATTACAGAATATCGAGCGAGATAATTTGGTGGAATTAACAATTTACACAATTAAAATAGAAAAAAATTAATTATGTAATGTAATAATGATAATTACAAACCACTAAACAATATCTAAATAATGTCTGCGTCGCTCGACATTGCGCCTGTAACATTTTGCTTCGTTAGCAGAGTACGATGCCATTTATTTTTGTAATACGTTTATGTAGGGATAGTTCTTATTTTTATATAGAGGTTTACCGTGCTACCGTAAGTCTTAGAGGCCTGAGTAGGGTAGATCATTAGAATACCGCGGAGATATGAATTTGATGCGCTTGCACGGGATGCACATGCGTGCAAAGTACTCGCTTCTGCAATTAGCAATATCAGTCTGCAATAAATTTTCATTATCCATATATTGTTTGTTAAGAAATAGTCTTTTATCTAGTCTACTTTATTTTAATTAAAAATGTTAATAAAAAATAATTTTACATTCGATATTATAATTGAATAGTTTTAAAGTAACACAATTAATAACATGAAATAAATTTTAATTTCTACAATTTTTTGCAATAAAAATGAATTATTTGGATGTTGACACAGAACAATTGGATTAATAGTATAAGTGCAAAAACGAGTACTATGAATACGCTTGACTTGAATAAAAACTGAGTGTAAAAAGGAATTTGGTGGGTGCCATTTAATAAAAAAAAAAAGCGTTGCGTGCCATGAAAAAATACCAATTGAATAAAAAAAGAATGATATTAATAATTATCAACTTGCGAGGAACTTATAGGGATTTAAAGTAAATCGATATGATAATGAGTAAAACTGTTGGGAAGAACGGACGTGCTCGTGCTGTGCCGGGTATAGCATTAGAAACAAAAAAGAAATATACATAACTGACTTGTAAACATTATTAATATAAAAAAGAAAAATCATAGTAATAAATCTATATAAATATAAATATATATATAAATATATAAATACAGATATAAATATGAAATATAAATAACAGAAAATAAAGCGGCATGTAAAAGTGAGAGCCGCAGTTATCCACCGAAATAATAAGTAATAAAGAAAAGTAAATAAATAAACTCGACAATGAAACAAAAAAGTAGGTAAAACGTAGATCACGCGATTTAAATGTACGTATTCAGCAGTGAAACTTGAGTACATTTTTGTAATAGAAAATAAAATTTAAAATATTGATAATTAATAATAATATTAATGATAATAATATTAATTAATAATGAATAATTAATTGATAATTTTAAAAAAAAACTCGACGCTTGATATAGCTCTCATCGACATATCCTCTGATTAAACACATCTGTTTACGTACATACAAAATACTTAGCAGGTATATATGTTTGTAGGGTATTTTAAGCGTAAATAATGCCCATTAAACAGAAAAAAAAAACGAAAAATAATTAGATCCCTATTATACATAAAAATAGTACAACTAAGGCAAGTGTGTACTGTACATAGCTGTCATTTACTTCCTAATGTCCATCATTACCAACTATATTATTAAATAATTATACATAAACCCATTGTACTGCAAGACAAGACATTAACCATTGTTGTAATAATTATCAATTATTATGATTATTATTGCTACAAGATAAAACAAATATGAATAATGCTAATGTATACTTTTTGAATTAAAGTAAGATTAGAATTAGAGAAAGTAGACCCTCACTTTCCGCACTGAACAAAAATCAGCATTCAAAAATTACATCTGATTCATCAAAATTGGATTCTACCTCAATTCTACAATAACAAAAAAATATAAATATCACATTTTTCATAAAAAAAAATCTTTAATGATGAAGTTCAGTTGAGATAATAAATAAACTTGTTATTTGAAAACATTAGCGATTCGTTGGTCTGCAACGATCTCAAACTGTGATAATAAAAATGATTATTTATCTGTTTATATAAAAATTTTTGATCTTAAAGATCTTTTTTGTTATTAACAAATATGCAATAGTATCAGAAACTTAATATTATTTGGATAATCGATGAAACATATTTTATGCATTTCTGTGCAAATTGATTTTATTAATGTGATGCAAAAATTTTGTAATTTATTAAGTTATAAATACTCATAAAAGTTTATTTTTAAACTATTGTGAATTATTTTGTAGATTTTATAATAGTTTGATTGAAAAATAATTGAAAGTTATTTATCATCATAGAGCTTGAAATACATATATAGAAAATTTAGCATCACATTGATAAGAAAAAAGTATTTTTTTAGTTTAAATAAATAAATAAAAATTGAATGTAAAAAGCTACTGAATGCTAGTTAGAGTATAAAGAATACTCATAATTTTCAGTATATTATATTCTATTGTGATGTTAGATTAAGCTATGAATTAATAGTTATGTCAGAGGAATGAATTGAGATCGTTGTAGTCAGACTGAACGTTAGTGTGAGGGATCACTTTCATTATTTTTTTTAAGCCTCTGAAAAAAATTTAATTTTTTATAGGGAGGCAATGACAATTTTTGTTAAGATTGATAGAAATAATTCACAAAGCTAATTAATAAAAAAAATTAACTGGACAAAGTCTAAGTGATTTTCGCTAAAATAAAATTTTATGATACTGTAAATTGTGATCAATCATCAAGCTACAATGTAGCTTGTTTGTAATGTCATAAACAAACAAAAAGAATTGTGTATTAAAGTAGATATCCATCGAAAAATTTCTATTTTTATCCTTAGATTTTAAAATTTATTAAAAATACAAAAATTCATTTATTATTCCATTTCTACATCGACGACTGCATCTTCAACTACAATCTGTTCTGCTGCTACTGTTGGCTGTATCAACGGAAGTGGATCAGGCGATTTTGTGTAAATATTACTCGCTGAATGTTCTTTTAAATATTCACCGCCTTTTTCCTCATACTCCTTTCGACTCACCAAATATTCTGGTAGATTACCACTCAGTCCAAAATCACGAGCACCATACCAACTATCTAAGCTAGCATTTTTAGCAATACTAATTCGAAAGTTTGATTTAAACGGTCTAATCTCTTGAAGTTCACGATGTAAACGTTCAAGCAATCCGGGGAATTTCGCTGGGCTACCCGTTAGAAACACATTATTCACAAGTCGAGATTGTAATTCAGGTGAATAAAGTTTTAATACGAATTCTATCGTTTCAGCAATGCCTGCTTCTACTGATCCAATCATGGAAGGTTGAAAAAGTATTTCTGGAGCACGCAATCGTTCTAATCCCACATGTAACTGATGCGTTTCACCTGGTATTACAGGAGTATGGGAGCCTGGACCATCAAACTCTGGATCATGTTGGCGCAATACTTCTTCAAGCTCTAAAAGCCGTTCTTGTTCTATCTCTGAGTCTGAATCTCCGCCCTCCTATTGAGATTAAATGAATTTTTAAGATACTTTTAACATTCATATTGTATTATTAATCATCTCGTTTCAAAAAAGGAGCTTACCCTATTAATAACTTTGTAGACATCCCAGTCTTCATCCCTAATACCAAAATCATCATCCCTTTTCTCTTTTTTTGCTAATTGGCTAATAATTCGCATCCTTTCTTGTGCTGCTACTGTTCTACGCTTAGCCATATCCTGTCTACGTTGTCGTTTGGCTGATCTTTTGTCCAAAATTTCTTGTCTGCATTAATATAATAAATGGCTTTAGTTCCTAGTTCATTATAAGTTTTAAATTATCAATTAAGACATAAAAATATTCAACCTTTTTTTCCGGATTCCAGCAATCCACTCATCAAAATCTGCTTGGTCTTTAGGTTGTAAAGTAGTTTTAATCTTTGATTTCGTTTCCTCTATTCCTACATTATCCTCTTGAGAATTAGCAGCAACAATTTTTTGTCTAGTTTTCTCTACTTTTGTCTGCAAATTATTTATCATCTTCGTTAATTCAGTCTCATTAGATAGACTAAAGGATTTAAGTGCCCGTTGAAATTCTTCGGGCTCTCCTTCATCTATTAAATCTCGAACTGCAAGAAGCTGATTAAGTTGCTCTTCATCTTCTGCCAACTATCAAGTAAATAAGTTTATTATTATCAGCCAATAAAAGTTAATTGTTCAAGTTGTGTCACAAAACATACTCGCTCCTCTCGTTTTCTGGCATTAATTTCCATTAAGCGACGTGCCAGTTCACGTTTCCTTTCTTTTTGCTGTTCTAATGTTAAACCCGGAGTGGTTGTTGGTGCTATATAAGGCAGTTGGATTCGCAATACATTGGCATCGTAATGATCTGGATCAGTCCATTTTTTTATTTCGTCTTGATAATCAAGAGCTATCGTGGAATGCTCATGAATTAATTCCTGGATTTATTATTATTTAAGTAAATTGAAAATCATGAAAATGAATAATAAAAACAATTTAACTTACTTCAGCTCTGCTAGGAGTGATTGCATTTACATGAACGGGATATTTTAATTGTAAAAGTCTGTGCATGTACGAAGTTATATGGTATCCACCAATATTTATTCTCCTAGAATTTGCAGCATCAGCTCTTCCATCAAGTATAGGAATTATATGTGTTGTGTGATATCCAATACTAATGATAAGTCCATCAGGTGGACAATTGTTATGCTGATAAGAAAAAAGGCAATCCACTCCGTAAGCTATTGATGGAACATTGTAGCATTCAAACAGAAGTTCTGCCATGACTGAAAAGTAATTCCAAACAATAGTAATTTTATATATTTAATCAACAATAGATAAATAAAAAGTACTTACGATTTCTTGAATAATTAGGATTCAAAAATGCTTCTGTAATAATGATTGGATGATTTACTGAACCTTCTGTATCAATTCCCATGTGAGTAAATGTATAATCAAATATTTGTTCTTGAGCTTCGAAATGTGTTACAACATTACGATCGAATTGTGTCTTTAACTGGAATCTTACAGATTCAATATTTGTGATATCATTTCCAACTTGAACTTCACCATCTTTTTTACCTCTTTCTTTCCTTGGTTTAGCAATAAGATTTTTGAAGATCAATTGAGGTTCTTTCTCAGTTGCCCAACCAACTCTACAATTATACGATCCTATAAAATGATAAATTATTCATATATAAAACAAATCACATCAGAGGTAAGAGTTTTGGAGCTGAATGTAAACATTCAGACTAAACATCAAATGTTACCATTATCTATAACCAGTGGAGTTGATTCTTTTTTTATTCTTTCAGAATAAACATGAATAATATCTGGCACTGTTTTTTCATCTTTTAATTCCACAATATCCATTTTTAACTAATAACTGTTGAAAATGATTGGAGTTGACTTGGGATATGTTTACATGGTTTATACTACTGAAAATAAAGGTTAGGTTTTATCGACAGCTAGTAAACTAGATTTACTTAAAAGAGTTAGAACTCTTCTTTATTGACATTTATTTAAATTTCAATCCACTCTAATTTAAAAACTTTTCATGCAGAAATGCTCTTTATATGGCTTGCTCGTTATGAGGCACTTTCAGTGATTGGCTTTTTGAGAGCGAACTTCACTCATATTTCCATCCAAATTCTTTCTACCTAATATTTTGTAATCATATTTTCTCCTTTTAATTCCATAAAAATTTACTCAGCTCTTTTTTAGCTGAAAAGGTAGGAACGTTTGGGTCAATTATAAAAAATATTTTTGTTTACATTTTTAATAAAAAAATTTGCAATTTATAAGAATAAAATAATTTTATAAATATTTGACATATTTATTATATTATTCATTAACTGAGATATAATTTTTTTTTTTAAGTAATCATTTAAAATAATATTTCATGATTTATAGCAGATAAATTTATTAAAAATTCAAGGCTTTAGTATATTTTACTGATAATGAATAAAAAATGAGCACTAATTGACGCACATACATTTTTTCTAATTATATATTGCCAGTTGTAAGTGCAGATATGGAGGAAAAATAATACAATGACCACATTTGTCAGATAAATGTGGAAATTCCTAAAGTCTACAGTGAACAATTGACCTGTGCAATTCACGTGCATGTAATTTATTTACTCAAGCATGACATGGAGTATATAAAAGGTGGATTGAACGGGTTGGAAGTTTAGAAAGTTTAAGTATTTTGTGTATATCCTTATGTAAATATAATTTTTTCGAGCACAATGAATATGCATAAAATAATTTTGTTAACTGCGGTGTGTATATCACTAATAAACTTTATTCAAGGAGGGTAAGTGGAATTTCAAACAAAATAAATGAAATATTCATCAACGTCCATAGCAGTTTCATTTAATGTTCAGGTCATACAAAACAAATAATTTAATTTACACAGAAAATTTTTGAAATAAAACTTTTTTACAGAGATAACACAGAAATATCAATTGTTCCAATACTTGGTCCATTTGATCTTGCTGAAGGCCCACATTGGGATGAAAATAGTAATATTTTATATTTTGTGGATATTCATCAGCAAAAATTGTACTCTTGGGATTCTGAGACAAATGAACTCACTTACACATTCATAAGTAAGTATTACACTCACAGAAACAGCTACATATACATTCTATTGTACAAGAAGAGTTATTTTGTATCAGAGTATGGTCCAGTGAGTGTTGCAGTTCCAATTGATGGCAAAGAAAATAGCTATGTAGTAGGGAGTGGTACCAATCTTGTTGAAATATATTGGAATCGACATTTTAATGATACTGATCCTGATGTGGAAATTATTCGAACAGTTGACTCGACACGTCTATATAACAGATTCAATGATGGAAAAGTAGATCCCAAAGGGCGGTTTTGGGCTGGTACAATGGCAGAACATGGAAATGAGTACCCACCTAACCAAGCTTCTCTTTATAAATTTGATTCTGATGCCAAACGTAGTACAATGATCAGTCCAGTAAGCATCAGCAATGGTCTTGTATGGAATCATGCTAATGACACATTTTATTACATTGATTCTCCTCAAAAAAAAGTTTTTGTCTTTGATTATGACAATGAGAGTGGTAATATTAGTAAGTCATGATACAGTATTGGTTTTATTAAGTTTATATTTTGTTGAAGAATATTAAGTAATTTAAAATTACATTATAATTGTCATTTAAGGTAATCAGCGAACTTTGTTTGATTTTGTAAAGTATAATATTACTGGAGTTCCTGATGGAATGACAATCGATAGTACAGGAAATCTCTGGGTAGCAGACAACTTGGGTAATGGAAAGGTAAGAATGGTAGAATCAGTAAAGACTGAAAATTAAAAAATCAATCAGGTTCGTTAAAGATATAACTTTTTATAGGTGCTGCAAATAGATCCTTCTTCTGGAGAGTTGTTACGAATAGTTGATATGCCAGTGACTCACGTTTCAAGTTTAGCTTTTGGTGGTCCGAATAAAGACATTCTATACGTAACAAGTGCAAGAGAAGGTTTAGAAGATGAAATAAAAAATCAACCTTATGCAGGTTTTGTATTTGCTATTTATGGTCTAGGAGTGACTGGATCTCCAATGTTATCTTACAAACTGGAAGATGACATTGTTTTTAATAAGTAAATAATATAATGATGTATTTAACTGATGTGATGAATGTACTTTTTGTTTCATAATTAATTTAAGTTAACATGATCATCATGTTTCATGGGAACAATGGCATTTGAATGAACATGAAATAGAATTGAAGGGATGTAAAATGTAGACAAAAGACCCAGAGAAAGAATTGAACTTGAAGAATAATATCTTGTGTAAGTCCTTGTATACTTAGCAAGTAGAACACTACACGTTAAGGTAAAGTCCAAAGGTTCGCTAGTCTAGTTGAGGAAGTTTCATGAATAGCTTGGGTGTAATATTAGAGGTACTTTAAAGGGTAAAGTTACACCAATAACAGAACTGCAGGCGCTCGAAGCTTGATAGAATATGCAAATTGTCTGTCTAATGACTGTGTGAGCGTCCTTTCCATACTGGATCGTAATATTTCCTGGCTTTTGCATCAGATGTCCGGACACTCTCCATCATATAGTTACAGAGAATTCAATCCTTGATTATATTTAATCCTTTATTGAACTTGAAGTTTTTGGAAGCTGTAAATATGAATAAAAAAGCATTATTTATTTTCAGTTTTACTGGAAGAAAAATCTAAGAAAAGTTTAATGAAAAAAATATTTTCCAATAATTGAAATATTGAAAAAAAAAGGTTTTATTAAATTTATTTTATAAAATGGTAATATATCTTGGAAAATTGATAGAACCAATAGTTTAGAAAGCTCTTAACATTGCTGAAAACTTGAGCCATATTTTCAAATTCAACAAACTACAATGGTCCTTCGATAATTGTCTGATATGTTCAAAGAAGAAACTTAAACCTCGTAAATTGGTAAAGCAACGTTCCCACTAGTGCCCTGAGGACTAGCTTGTTCTAGTAAACTTTTATACTGCACGCTTGGTGCATGTCCAAGTGTTTTGTGAGAACTCAACAGATTCCATTGGAATTAAACCATTTATTTATTTATGAATGAGAACTCGAGTTCGAGGATGTAGAGACAGAAAGGACATTGAAAAGGACGAGGACCAAGTTGATCGAGTGTTGAATAAATACTTTACAAGACATGTAATTTTTTGTTTTTTTCCGCAATGTTTTATCAATACTATTAGAAGTTTATTGGGAACGTCGGGAAGAAAAAGGGCTTTTACATATGAAAATAAAGTTCTCATTGTATATCGTAAAAGAACTTTACTCGTTTGACAGCTTTTTCCCATGAAATAAAATAAGTCTGAGGCGGCTTAGACTGTTCCTTGTTTTCACTTCTTACTTTGATCTTATTGATTACAAAACTTTACTCTATTGAATATAAAATCTAGTCATAAAGTTATATTTACTGTTTCTGAAAAGAAATATGAAGACATAAGATAGACACATAAATTATTTTAATTTCTTTAGAAAAATCTTAAAAGCTTGACCTAGTAATATTACAATGTATAATAATATTTTTCCAAAGGATGCAGCTTTTTCAGAACTTCTTCATCTCATTTTCCAAGCACATAATGAAACTTTATTTGAAATTTAATATGATGCCTGCTATTGTTTTTATGATTTAAAAGATGACTTCATGAAATATTTCTTCTTCCTTATACAAAAACTTCATATTGTCTTGATGCTTTATATTATTATCAGTGAATTATCTGGAAATATCAAGAAGAGATCATTATCAACATTACCAGTGAAAACTACTTGACCAATATTTAATCATTTCACAAATAAGAATAACTTTAGACAGCTTGATGGAGGTCGTGATTATAGAATTTCAAAGTTTTATAAGAATCATTACAATTTTTTGTTGAAGTTTAGAGACTTTCCATAGATGTTCTAGTTCTTGAAGAGTATTGCTATTTCATTAAAACTATTTTATGGTTTGTTAAAAAATTGTTCTCGAAAGTTTGACACAAATATTTTCAATAATTTCATACAAGTAACAGAGCTGAAATTGAATCATAATCAATAAACATTAATTATTAAAGTTATAAGTCTAGTTCTGTAATCATCAAAATTTTAACATTAATATTCAAGAGCTCGAATTTCATCGGTTGTCTCTTTTCGGGTATTTAATTGGAATAATTGGTGAATACAATTTTAGGATTACGTATGGAGCATAAAATGAAGCTAACTATTCCGGATATACATAACCTGAGCTGTACCACTAATTTTTCTTCCCTAACATTTCCACCCCATTTATCCGATATCGCCATGATATTTTTATCCTAGTGAAAAATCTATTAGCGAAATAACTAGTGCTGTACAGTGCGCTGGTATATATCTAGTTGGTTCATATTTTTTTATCACCACTAGCAGTATGGTATCAAAGACATCCATTCACATTTACTGAATTACTTTGTGTGCAAGCATAGGGAAAATAACTTACCCGGTAAAATATGAAATAAGATGAAACTTTTTTTAATTAAAGAAAAAAATTAAAAACTATTATAACGTTTAAATGAATTTATTGATGATGAAGACCCTACCAGTTATATCGTTTATTTTTCTTTTCATTAAAGAATAATTACAAATTTAATTAATATTGATTTTTGCTAATGGTTCAGGTTCATTAATGTTTCAAAAAAGATATAAATGTTTTATGACTTCGTTGGAGTAGAGTAAAGTTGGAGAAATAATTGGTGAATTGATACTTTCTGTGATGTTAATTTTAAATAATAATATAAATTATTAACAAAAACGGCAAACTATATTGATTTTATTTAGTTAGAAGATCTATAAAAAGAGAAGTAAACAAAGAAGTCTTGATCAAAGAATGAACGTAATGTAATTTTTAACAAGTAAGATACAAAGGAACAAGGGCTTTGGTGTTCTTGAAAGAGAATAAAACTAGTGCGGAAGTAGAAGTGGTTGTAAAGTGAGAAAGCGAGGAAAGAACGGAGAGGCGGAGATGGTGTCTCAGAGCAACAACTTGAGATGTAAATCAATGGGTGATAAGCACAGTCGTCCTGTGGGACTGGGAGCAGAAAGGTCGGCATTTTGTTTGCTCAAGCAGAAGAAGGTAAAAAGAAGAAATGAGGGTCGCGATAGACTGAGGTAATTTACCAACGCAACGAATGACAAAACGAGTATCACAGAAAGGTGGGGTCTATCTGGAATTATTTATTCACCAAGTTGCCTAAAATTTTTCCTGTCAAACTGAAGGCCAAAATAAGGAAAACGCAGTCTTCGTACCGCCTCTCGGAGAACGCCTCTTATTTTTCAATTCTTGCTTTGGTGGAGCTTTATTTATTTATTCGATACTCGGATCAATTATTCATACGTCTATATGCGAGTAGGTTTTTACTCAGTATGAAGAAAAAGATGAGTCCTAAGAAATCATGCATACTTTATGTGAAATATTTTCGACTTGAAATTCCTCAGAATAATCAATGAGAGAAAGTTGACTTGCCAATCATTTTTACTGTTAAATAACATAGGTTTTAAAAATAATTAAATCCATATTTATTTCTTAATAGAATGAGTCAAGGAGGAATGTTTATTGTATCATTTATTCGAACAATTGAGAAAAAATGTTGCAAGTTTGTTTAATCAGTAACTAGAGAATTTTAAATGAGAATGATAAGGAACAAAAGAGCAGGAATAAAAATCAGGATTTTAGTCGTGGTCAGAGTGAATGAAATGCGAAACATCGAGGCTGACATGCAATTAGTGGCGACGACTGCAAATCGTCGTGAACGCCAGTCCTACGATTTACCACCACGTCGATTCTTTTTTTTCCTGTTTTTTCTACCCTTTTCGACTTCTGTATCTCACTTTGCTTCTTTTTTATTACTACTTTTTCACCTTCGTTATTTGGTCTTTTGTTTTTAATGACGTGAGTACGTGAGATCCAAAAAGTAATATTTCACTTTTTTGCAGTTTTATTTTCATTGTTAGAAATTTAATTGATTTAGCTTTTCATAATGAGTTAATGATAACTCTATATAACTATATAAATCTATATTTAATACAATAATAAATCGTTTATATTTGAATAATACAGACGGAAACTCTAATTAATATGACAAAGAACAATGAAATAGGATAGCAATAATCAGAATAAGAGACTAAGAAACTTATACTCTAATCTGAAAATTACAATCCTCCGGCTTCGTGCTTCTCTCTTTGTTTCTTCTAGAGCTATAAGGAGTATTCTAATCATATAAATTACTTAAAACTACTAACAAAAGTCCTTAAATATTTCTCCAAGGCTTTCTCTTAGATTTATTAAATGTATTTCAAGCCTCAATGTAACTTCTTTATTAAAAATTATACCATCTTTTCTTTACTAAAAAAAATTACTGCATTCTTTTTATTTTCATTAAATGAAATTAATTAAATAATTATTCATATTTATTTAATACTTCAAACCAGAAATTATTTTTATTTGTAACGATACCTGATATCTTTGATTTTTTCCAGAACATTTAAATTAGTTTATTTTATAAAAATGTTTTCAATTTTTTTTGAGCTTATTATTTATTCTGATTTATTTGCCAACTAAAAGAGGGTCGAAAGTTTGAGAGAACATTTTTTATAATCGATCTGACAAAAAAATAATGGGCAGTATTTTCTTTACAACTATTTATCGTTTGATTTTGCAAAATAAACTTGAGAGTAATGAGTACTCAGTAAATTTATGTTTAACATTTTTTGAATAAAAAATACTCGTCCCTATCAATATTCTATAATTTTTCTTCTTTTATTTTCTCAGTCCTTTCTTTCTGCTTTCTCTAGAGTTTTTGCACATTTTTACGCCTGAGGAGTTCTAATTACCATGAAGACAGAACTTTTTCTCGCAGTTCATGGGCAAGTTGGAGAAAACTTATTTCAGTTGTCAGTTTTGCTTCAATGCTATGAAAATATCTTATTTAAAGGCAAAAATGTGAAAGATAGGAATTTTATATGAGTGCCAAGATTTAATGACTAGATTTCAAATACTTTCAAATGTTTTTTATTTCTAAGGTGTGTAGAAAAAAAAAAATTAAAAAAAACATACGATGAAAGACTGTAGAATAAAATAAAAATAATAATAATAAAATGGATTCGTGAAAATGTCTAATGATTTTCTTTACGACTACTATTCTTTCGTAGATTTCAAGGAATGTGCACTTAGATCAACGGTACGAAACGCAAGAGCATGAGAGCGAGAGAGGAGAAGAAGAGTGCCTGCCACTTCCATACCTTCTATTTCCCACGGTAATTA